GCGCGCAGCAGCAGACACAGAAATCGTCAATTTCACCCCAGAACCGTCAGACAATGTCGACATAGGACAGCGCGCGGCAGCCTGGTAAAGCAGTGCCGCAATTTCGTCCCGTCGCTGCGTTCAACCGCGTCCCAGGCGTGTTCTCCAGCCCGGTGCAGCTGAAATCCTCGACATCGAACCGGCACCCAGGCAACCTATTGGCTCGAGCATGTGCAATTCTACAACTCAGGACTGTCCCCATGAGCACTGGCTTGTGCTCGAAACTGCGTCGCCAGGAATGCACACCATCCGAATATCATATCCAGCCACAGTGCGCACTGGATCGCAGTCGGAGTCATACTTCTTCTCATGCACGCTCAGAGCTCTGTTTCGTATTCTATCAAAACGTTCTCCCACGCGGCCCTGGTCTCCTACCTCTCCCTCTCTAACTCGAGCACGGCACTCCAGCGCTCCCAGACTCTGCGATCATACGCGCGCATAACATCAAAGAGGATAGGCGCGCTTACTCCTGGTATCCGATACGTAGAATCGTCGCACGTCAAGTATCATGTTACTCTGGAGCGCCTCATCTTCGGCGTGATACCTCCGAGTACTCTTCCAGTCGTCGCTGCTGTTGTCCTTGTTCTTGTGACAATGTGTTTCGCGGTACCGCGCCTATTCGTTGTCTTTGACGCCTTGACACGTGACGCTGCCAGAGACGTGCAGCGAAAGGGCCAGTAGCGTGGTGTCTGCTTAACGCCGGATGGCGCTTCACTAGTGACTTGGTTTAGTAACAAGATGCATTCTGTTACCGGGCACGATTGGCGCTGTACTAGCGCTGCACGCTGGACGATGTCAAGAGCACGCCTTATAGGCAATCGAGGCATGCGCACATCGCCTTCGCAGGAACCCGATCGTCCAAAGCACCCCGAGGCCACAAAACTGGCACAGCGGTCATTGATAGAATGGGAGGTAGGGTACATGACAGAAACGTGCTACTGTCCATGCATTATAAGGAATCGTAAATGGTCCGCGAACTCGAAGTCGTGCGAAAACGCCAGATGTGCGACTCATTACACTCGTCTGCCACAGTTCCGATGTTTTCCAACGCTCGAACACAGCGAGGAACTAGTTGAAAGTGACGTTGAAGGGAATGCGGAAGATACCAGTGTCGTACACGAGCTTGGGCTGAGAAAGGCAGTCAGGTTGCGAGTACAGTTCGTTGGGAAATATTGCTCACGAAGATGCCGTCCGCGAAGCCTTCGATGACGCTCAGGACGTATGGTCCGTCACCAACCGTATCGATGTCGGACTTGCTGAGCGGGACTGGGATGGTGAAGGAAGGTCCAGGCTATAAAAGCGTCAGGCTCGAAGTTCGACATGTGTAATTTCCGAAGGGGCTTACGAAGTTGCTAAGACCTTCAGCAACGAGGTCCACGCTCTTCAGTGGGATGCCGACGGTTTGGCCTTCCTGGTCTGCCGTGCCAAGGGCGAAGGTAACGGTCAAGTCGATGCTGTGGAAGGTCACGTAAGTTTTCGATCCCGCGGACAGACCGACTTGAGTGCTCACAAGGTGACCTTAACGGAGCCGGTGGTGAACGTTACAGGGAAAACCGTGCCGTCGCCCGCGAAGAACGTGCCCGGAGGGCCAGTCACTTTGTTGAAAATAGCGCTGGTGAAGGGGAGAGCGGAGAGGAGACCAAGCGCGGCAGTGAGCTTGAAGGCGACCATGGCGAGTAGAGGAAGAACTTTTGGGAAGAGGGAAGTGGGAGTAGGAGAGATGGGGTGAAGTGAGAAAACACAGGGGAAAAACTGGTGCTCATCCTCTGCTCTTTATACCCCACCCACACATCACTCAATGAGCTGCGCTCGAAGCGGTACTGGCCATATGGGATCTGCGGCGCCTCAGCCGAGGCGCAGAAGATCTTTCCATATTGGACCATCCGGCTTGTGCTCGGCGAGGCTCACAGCCTGTACATAACTTAGATTCGGATCAAACCCCTCCGGCCGACAGCCGGAGGGGTTTGCACGGAAGTCGGCCCAGAGGACCACGTAGACGTACGGCTCTACAGCTCTTATTCCACCCTCGATCCCTTTGCTTTATATGTAATATCTGTACCCAAGACCTATCTCCACATTTCCGCTTATTTATGCGAGAGGCCAGAACATCTCTGTCGGTCTATACGGTGCTTGCAAACGGCGCCTCGCAACGGAAAAGACCCCCACACGACAGAGCAGTTTGGCAAGGAAATAATACCTCTCTACACCTGCGCTGCAGGATTACACATAAAGAGGGTATTAAATACATTCCTGAGTTGGTAGCTCTTTGAAGGGGTGCGCGGCAAAGCGCTGGTGAAAGGGACATGCGCCGCGGGCGGTGATTCTGGGCGACTGCTGGTTCAATTGCTTCCGTCCACGACTGAGCGGCGCCGTCCGGACGGCGGTCTAAAGCACCCGAAGCAACACTTTCATGCTACCACGTCCGTTCAGCTGCCGGCATCAAATAACAAAGGACTACAAATCAGTCTATAGGCCATACGAAGCCTTGGTATGCACTAATCTGGGAGGAGAGACGCTTAAATGCGGAAGGACGCACCTTGTAAGGCTGCTCGCTCGCGGAACATTTGGCACCGTGAAACGCTCAACATATGCGCATTTTTACCTGTATGCCTACTTCATTATATGAAGTAGTGTCTTGGCTATATTATTCACTATATAACCTTGACGTTGGGCGCAGAGAAGAGTGAGCTATTCCCTTCGCCCCGCTGGGTCCCCACGGCGATTTCCGTGTAAGCCCCTCTGCGAGGAGCTCGGCGCGCCGAGCGGGGCTTAGTTGAGTCTATACATAACTGAAACTCTAGGCCAACATCTTGATTACTGAGACAGGACCTGTCATGTGTCTCCGGCGTTTTCGAAAGCTGAAACCGGAAGCTGCAATGGACGCGCCGCAGTAAAAAATCTCGCCTCGCTTGCGCAGCACTGAGCACGTTGTTCCGAAGGCACTTACGTAAGCGCATCGCTCTGTCTTAGTGCCTGACCGCGGAACAGCAAGCTCTGCTGCAGGGATCACTGACGCCGTATGACGCCGAAGCTGTATTCATATGGCGACGGGCGAGGGTAAAAAACGAGACAAGGTGTTAGCAGAGGTGGAAGGAATAAAGAAAGGACCAGACGTGGATCGAACACGTGACCGTGCGATAACTACTTGAAAAGCTGCAATCGCATGCGCTACCACTGCGCCACTGATCCGTTATATTGAGTAGGCTCGATGATCTTATCAGGCGCAGAACAATGAATTCAAGTATTCCCATGACACATCTACACCGTCGTCGGTATCTCGTTCGAACGAGTAGGGACAGACTCGGAGGCATGGAAGTAGTATGCGGATTCATTGCGCTTGCATGTCGTATTATACATGCACCATTGGACTGGGCAACAATGCGGGCTCATTCACCTTGCTTACTGCGTTGCAGGCGCAAGAGCGAGCACTGTGAAGCGGATGTCCTGCTTACTCTCAGCTATCTCTTTCACGACCTCGAGAACGCTCTTCGTGGGGTATTAGCTGCAGCACGGAGAATGCGCTTGAGAATGCATACGTGTATGAGGTCTCTCTGAATGGGCCCATGAAGGAGCGGTGCATCGTTCCAACCGTCTAATTCGACGAGTTGTCCATTCTGCGAGACAAAGGCGGAGAAGCCCCCGTCGGGGTGCACGTCGTCCGGAGGCGTCTACAGCGCAGAATCGTAAACATGAGGAAGGTACAGGGACACTCAGGCGTGCCTCGGATTGGCCAGAGAGCGCAGCGGCGGTATGGGCAGCGGAGATATCGACAATGTCGAGTTTCTCTGCGGCCTCGTCCATAGGAAGACCTTTGCACTCTTCGAAGAGCGTCTTGATCGGACCATCCCCTGCACGCAGCCGCTGAGACTGGCGCATGGAATTGCGGGAGGAACATACGGAACGGGAGATTGGGTGTATTCGCGAGGGAATGAAGCAGGGCCTGCGGAGCGAGTCAGAAAAGTGGTTGACGTGTCTCTCTTGCGCGATTGACCATAGTGCCGCACTGGTTCATGACGCGCTGACGAAAGTGCACAAGAGCAGTGCGATCTACAGAGCCCTCTACTTTCTGCTTTCTGTACATCGTCTCTTTGTCAACTGGGTAGAGCAGGACGCATGCGAGGATCGGCTGCGGGACGAGCGCGAGGAGTTCGTCATCGAAGCCGAGGACATCGTGGAAGCAGACCGAGTCGACGTCGAGACCGAACTGGCTGGCTAGACCGTTGAACGATTGAGGGTTACTCTCGAGCGGGATGGCCTTCCTCTGGGTCTCAGACTCTGGCGAGCTCATGGCGCTGGGAGAGGTTATTTGGGCGCCAATCAAAGTGCGGGGGCGGTGTGGCGCGCGGGCGTCTAAAGTGGTCGATCTCTCGGCCGGGCTTGCTGCGCTCCGCTCCTCACACTCTTCCCTCTTCTTCGTCATCGCTCCCTCGAGCTCGTTGTCCCTCGCGACCATGAGCTACTCTGGCGACTCTCTCCAGCGTCCGCTCTCGGACTCGCACTACACTCGCGCGCCCAACCCGGCCAATCCGGGGGAGGGTGGGCCCTACAACAATGGCTACGCGGCGCCGCCCCCGCGCAAACGCATAAGTCCCTGGATCAAGTTCGGCATCCCCGTAGCCATCCTCGTCATCGTCGCTGCCGTCGTTGGCGGCGTCCTGGGCACGCGGCACAGCAAAAATAGCAGCGCCAGCTCGACCGGATCAGGCGACGGCTCTGGTTCTGGCCCCTCTGCAGGCGACGGCGGCGGAAACAGCAACGTCCAGGGCGTCTTCGCCACCTCCACCGACGCGTACTTCCTCCCGGTATACCCTACCAAAGCCAACAACGCTCTCTACGTCGCACCCACGTTTACTCCATCCGCGAGCGCTTCCGCAGCCTGGCCCGCCGACACGTTCTCCCCAGCGACTCCAGAGATGACCTCCGTCAGACCAGACAGGCCTCGCCTCCTGGCCCCTGCCTACAAGTGGGCAGCGCTCCCGGACCTCATCCAAAAGGATGTCTACCTCAAGAGCTTCCATAATCGCATCCTCAACAACGCTACTCAGTATCTCCAACTCCCTCCAGTCAAGTACGTCCTCGACGGCGGGAGCGGTATCCTCGACATCTCCCGCGAGGTCAAGCAGCGCATCAAGGCATATTCCTATGCCTACCGCATGACGAAGGACCAGAAATGGCTGGACGGCGCGTGGGCTGAGCTGCAGGTGTGTGTCGTGCCGTCATGTGCGCTAAACTTGGGTCTCATACGGTTCTCGACCTCTCACAGAACGCGGCCAACAAGGGTCCCAACACCTTCAGCCCGGATCCGTCTGACGCCTGGAACAAGGGGCACTTCCTCGATGTTGCCGAAATGACTGCCGCTTTTGCGATCGCCTACGACTGGTTGCACGACGCTTGGACAGATGACCAGCGCTCTTCTATCATGCAGTCTATAATCGACAACGGCCTCCAAGTTGGTCTCGCTGCGTACAACGGCGCGAGCTACGGTTGGTGGACCGGACGAAACGGCGAGGTCATTTCTGGCAACTGGAACTGTGTCAGCAACGGCGGCATGGTTCTTGGTGCCCTCGCTATCATCGACGACGATCAGAGCGGTGTTGCCGCCCAAGTACTCGCGAAGGCTGTTCCCAACGCACAGGCCAATTGTGCGAAGGGTCCTTCTTCTGACGGCAGCTGGACAGAAACTCCCAACTACTGGTGAGCACCACTGATGTTTACGGGAACGCACATGCCCTAACGAACGACACAGGTACTTCGGTACTACGGGTCACGCAGAAATGACCTCTGCTTTGATGTCGGCTACCGGCAGCGACTACGGTCTGCTCACCACCAACCCTAACTTCAACCTCACTGGTCTCTACCATATGTATGTCTACGGTATGACCTCGCTCTTCGACTACGCGGACCACGGCCCAAACAAGTACTCGTCTACTGCCAACTCGATGATGTTCTACGCTACGGCGTACAACACCCCGATGTACATGCTGCACCAGCGCGACCGCTTCGATGCGGCGGACCCGACGTCGATGTTCTGGTACGACCCGACCGTTGCCGGCGCGTGGTGGAACGGTCTTCCGCTCGACCACTTCTTCAATGACCCGGAGACGTACTGGGCGTCGATGCGCAGCAGCTGGACGGACAACAAGGGCCTGTACATCGCAATGAAGAGCAGCAAGTTGACGGGCCATCAGACTCACGGTGATCTCGACTGCGGTGACTTTGTCCTCGACGCTATGGGTCAACGCTGGGCAGGCGAGCTCGGTTCTGGCGACTATCTTTCGACGGATGTGCGTATGGTCTCGAAGTTGCATGTTGTTCTTGTTTCTGACGGAAGGGACAGTACTTCACGAGCGAAGCCGACGATGCGACACGCTGGTTGTACTACCGCAAACGTACCGAGGGCCAGAATACGATTCTCGTTGGCGCGCAGAACCAGCTTGCCGAGGAGGCAGCCCCCACATTCCAGTTCGGCAGCTCCAACACTGCGCAAGGGTCGGATCCGGTCCTTCAGCTGTCGAGCGACTCGACTGCGTTCGCCACCACGGATATGTCGACCGCATACGGCTCTGGCTCGTGCGTCTTTGTCTCCGTTTATCTTCCTATGCTACACATTGACATTTCTCGCGAAGGTCGGTGAAGCGCGGAATCCGCATGTTGAACGGCCGCAAGCAGGTTCTTCTGCAAGACGAGATCTCGACAACAGACGCGGCTGTGATGTGGCGCATGCATACGAACGCGACTATTTCGCTCAACGGTGCGACCGCAACCCTCAGCCTCGGTGGCAAGACTCTGCAAGCGCAGATTCTTAGCCCTTCTAGCGCGTCGTTTGAGCAGATGGACCCCGTGCGCCTGTCGAGCGACCCGCCACTTCCGTCGGGCCAGTCCGACCAGGAGAACAAGGGTGTTCACGTACTCGTCATCAACCTCCCCGCGGGTACGAACACCATCCAGGTTTTGTTCAACCCGCAGTGGGACGGTATGAGCTCGAGCGATTTCGTCACGCCGAACAATGTAGCGCTGGATAACTGGTCGCTGACAAGCCATTAATTGAAATGGCCAAAACTGTTGGGTAACGGCTGCATAGCCTTGGACTTGCTTTCACCTTTCCCTTTCGTTGTCTCTTGATTTGATCCAGTTTGTGATGCATGGACATCCGCCGCTCTCGATCTATGTATCCTCTACATCCGCTCTCAACCACACTACCTATCTACATACTCCGCTGAGTTTTACGAATTGCACGAATGCCCAATGAAGTATTATATTGCTGTTCGCGTATGCCTGTGACATATGGATGATCCGTAGATGCAATGAGTGAGTGGAGTATACAGATGCATCGAAATTCCAACCGCGTGCAGTACTAGTACTACTCGTTATGCGCCAACGCCGTAGGCGTACAAGGTCTCGCGCCAGTCGCGCACATCCTCCCGGCCATAGACCACTACTGTAGGCAGTCTGCCTGCCGCGGAGGATCCGAACATCTCGCCCGCAACCTCTTTCAGGTCATCGGCGGTTACGGCGCGTATGCGGGCGCACATCTCCTCCAGCGGTACACGGTTCTCCTGGAGCAGGAGCTGTCGTCCAAGATCCTCGACTTCAACCGCACGCGACTCGAGCGCCATGACGAGACCAGACATGAGCTGGTTCTTCGCGCGCTGGAGCTCCGGTTGTGGTACTGGCGCGCGGAGGAGGAGGCTAAGTTGGTTCGCAAGGTGCGACAGCACAACGGACGAGCCGGCAGTCGGGGAGAAGGTCGCAAAGAGACCGAAGAGCGAGGCGTCGGAGTAGATGTGCTGGAAGGACGCACAGTGCTCGACTTGCGCGTGCCGGTTGAGGATGTGGGTGTATAGGCGCGAGTACATGCCCTTGCCTGGCCCGCCTGCGCTGAACGCGCCGCCACCGCCGAGCAGGATCTGCAGCGTCGCCATCGCGTAAACCTTGGGCGACTTAAGCGGCGGGCCAAGGAATGCAAGGTAGACGTGGTTGAAATCGCTTTCAGAATCCGCGACGTAACGGTGGCCGCCAGTGTACCGCGAGGGCTGGGTCGCGAGCTCGCGGAAGGACGGCGTATATGAGGTAGACGCGGGCGTGTTCTGCTCGAAGAGCGAGGGGTAGAGATACGATGACGCGGCTCGCGAGAGTGTTTTGTAAACGGACGAGGAAGAGCCGTTGGACGAGACAAGCGGCGCCGCTGC